TCTGGCATTCTGTTAATTAAAGTCAACGTTGTCAGGAAGGGATTTGCTCACTCCGAGAATATATGCCCGCTCCAAGTGAATGAATCAGAGCGGCTCTATAAAATTCTACAACCACTGCTACTACCCTCCCTCTGCCCGGCACTCCACACCCTGCTCCATTCCACTCCACACCACTCGACCCTCCGCCCCCTTAGTTCCCCCTTATTTTTACTGTCAGTTTTTATGAGAAAAGTCAGACGCCCTCGGGGCTGGTTGCTGCACTTTTTAAATGCTCTCCACCGATCAACGGTTAATGCCTGCCGGGCCGGGCCAGGGCCAACACTATTAGGAGGGGTGGCGGGACGGGACGGGACTGGAGGGGAACCCCAGAACAGCCATAGCGGCACTTTTCTCACCTTACCGTTTCATTTGATTTTATTTGTTGTTCTTCATTCGTTCTGCTTTTGTTCTCATTTCGATTTCGATTTTTTGGGGTAATGCCTTGGGCCGCTAGGCCCCAGGCCTATTAACTTTTTGTGGTCGACGACATCCGTTGAACGTTGACAAAATTAGAAGCGCGTGGGCGGGAGGGACTGCTGTAGGTTGTGGAGGGGCAGGGAGAGGCAACTTTGACTTTTGTGTCAAATGAATTAATAACATAAAAATGTCAAGCCTTAATTATCATAAATAGACAAATGACAACAAATATTAGAGCGCCCGTTTGTTCTCCTTCTGTGTTCCTTGGAAAAGTGCGAAAAACAAAACTCCCAAAACTAGCTACCAGATATAATCGTTCCATTATGTATATCTATTTTGATACCCTATAGTTTTAAGATCTCAGGGTATATTGTTTCATGGTCAACAGCAATCAACACCAACTGTAGTGTTTATATAGCTTAAATTTGTAATCTTTGATCTTTATTAAAGTAGTTCCTTCTGTCTTCGCCAATTGAATTAAACTGTCCTATCCACAATTGAAGTGATTTGATTACTGTATCTTAGCAAGCTCTTAAATTAAAATTTTTTCCTTAACACTCCCTAAAAATAATCAGATTCGGATAACCATTACAGCCAGCTTAAAGAAAACAAGTTGTTCGCCATTATTGTATTTCTGATTTACTTTCTGATGTCAGTTGAAGTTTCATAGTTATCCATTATCAGACTTCAAGTATCAGGTATTATTTAGTTGGGACCATTCCTTGTTTTGTATTCTATATGTATCTTAAATGTGGCTGCTCATTTGTTGGAATAGGTTTGACACTAATTCGCTGGCGCGGCAATCAAATTTATGAAAATACGATATTCTGTCTCCGTCTCTTTCCTCTCTCCCTTTTGGGTCTCGCTTTTCTGCTCCCTTCATTCTTAATTAATTTGTTGGCATTTCCATGAATTAATTAATTAATATTGGAATGTGGGGAAGTGGAAAAGCAAATCTAATGAGCCAGATTGTTTTTTTGTTTTGTCTGTGGCAAAAGGTGAAACAAATTTAAATTTAAATTCTTTTTTATTGTGATATTTTTTTGCTTTAATGGAACTTGAAATTTTATAAAGATTTTTGGGAAAGATCAACTACGTTTTATTGTCGCGATCTGCGAGGAAAAGAACTAAGCTTATGATAGGTTTCTTCTATGAGTAACAAAAGTCTAGCCCCTATCATTGGGCTCTTCCCCCTGCATGAATATTAAAATATGAGACTAAAACTAGAACTCATAACCAGCATCCATTATATTTAATTGGAAATATTCATAAAATATTTCCCCAGCAATTTTCCCTATTTCGTCTTGCGAAAAGATTGATCGCCCAACGCGAATGCCAATGTCAAAACCGAGTGACCCGAGAGACACTTCAATTCAATTTTCAACACTTTTTTCCCCCGTCAACGAACCAACCAACAACCACACCCCAGCTCCGCACTGCACTGCATTTTCCCCCTTGCCCGGATTGACAAAATCGGAGTTTATTTTTATAGATTTGTGAGAATGTGTGGAGAGAGCAGACAACAAAAAATCAATTGTCTTAAACACACACTCCCCCCCGCCTCCTTCTACAACGCTTCCAGGCGAAGCAAACACATGACATGTGTCAAAAACAGAAAGAAAACGAAGTCGAAAGAGCGGGATGTACGGAATAAAATATACAAAAAGTGTCATAAGGATGGGAGAGCACTGCACGTCGACTCCTAACTCTTCAGACTCGGGGCGGGCGTGCTGCTGACAAATAAAACTGTCAGTTTTAATAACAAAACAACAAGAACTAGGGGGAAACCATAGATAGAGAGTGCACTCCACTTGGCTGCACTTCATAGCGAGACAGACATAGGCACAGGCCCAGGCCCAGTCAGAACCGAACAGAACCATCACAAAACTCAAGTCGCGGCGACCCCCGACCCGGCCGTCTGACAGATTACAGCTGCGATAAAGATTTCCATACTCCATAAAGTATTTTCTATACCTATTCCAATGCTCATCATCCCGCAAGTTCAGTTTCGGTTTTAATTGGAAATTATTATTCAAATACCAAAGCCAACCAAGGCTGATAAAAGTTTTCCCATTTAAGTCCGTTTCTCCGTTTGTGTGTTTCTGTTTTTCAAACAGCTCATAAATATATCAAAGTTTTGTATTCATTTTCATACATCATTTGAAGACTCAAAAATATTTGTGTGAGAGAGGGTTGAATTGAACGAGGGGAGCAGAAGGTGAAGAGCTTGCTCTTCTGATAATCTCCGTCAATTATGTTTGAAAGAAAATTTATGTTCATCTCAGGAAATGTTTATGCGCTTGACTGACGTAAAAACAAATTATAAAACTAACAAAAGAATTTAAAAATCTTTAGACATATAAAATATATATAAAGTATTCCGATTTGAAGGAGGGATACAAGGAGAGTTCCTGGCATTGCTATGGTTTAATACTGATCGTTAAGAATTAAGAATGACCTTTGTTGTGATCACAGGAACTCTCTTCTGAGAGCTATCCCTCTCACATCTAGGATATACTTTAGCTTTAAAGCTTAAATGTAATTTCTAACTTTGAGTTTACCTGAAAACTTTAATCACAATTTTTTGCTCTCTTTGTCTTTCAGGTAAGTCGCTGCAGAACTTTTGCGCCCCCACACCCACCGGAATAAGGTAAACAAGGAAAACACTCAACTTCTTTGTGCTCCGTGCCCTGTACCTTGTGCCCTGTGCCCGACTGTGTTGTCGCTGACGCTGGCGTGAAAAAATCCATTAGAAGTGGAACTATGTCAATCGATGCCGGAGAGAATACAGAGAGCATTGAGTGAAGAAAGCCTCGGGCAAAACATAAACTGTAAAAGCGTAGACCGGGTACAGTGGAGGCTCTGATAACAAACAGACAAAGGTGATGGAAGCTGAATGATGTGAAGGAAAATGTTTCATTTAAGGATGCATTTTGGTGTGTGTAGAATAATTAATACATATTGATAGGTAATCAGATTGATATGATGAATCTAAAGCCCAAATAAATATCCGCATTGTAGAGCATTCACTGTACCATTGCATATGCTAACTACAGACAATATGTATGTTGAGGCGGCATGTGGTAGCCATGAATTATTTACATACCGAGCCACCCAAATGCATTTCTAATGTTGCCACAGTAGAACAGAAAGTGCAAATGAGATTTTGCCTTCGGTCAGAATTTGTGTGTGGCCATCGGACATTGGTCAGCGGACAAGCAGCAAACAGTCGGACATCTCATCGGACATTGGCCGGACAAAGCCCCCCGCCCCCCAGTCAATGCAAAAGTCAAGCCCTGTCTCAGCCCTATTGATTTGTTCTGAAGATTGCTTTTACTTTTGTTCCGATTTGGGCCTCGTCTCTGGTTCGGTTCTATATTTGGTGCAAGTTGGGGCTTAAGTGGCTCGCTCGGTGGGTCACTTCTTCTCTGCTATGCTCTGAGGAAACTGTGGCAGCTCGGAATGAAATTAATTTCAATTGAACTTAATTGACAACCCGTCTAAGCCCTCTGTTTGAGGGTTGACCCATTAAAAATTGAAGTCTCTCTTCAGATCAGATCTAGGAACAAATTTATAATTTATTTATGAAAATGTTTTTGGGTATTTTCTTTGAACTAAATGGAATCTTACTGTGCAGCTAAGTACGGCAAATGTAGGAGATTTAAGTGTTTGCTATAACTCAGTTTAATCTTTAAGGTATCATAGAATATTAAAATAAACACCTGGTCTACCCAAGGAACGTTTCAGGCGGTGTCCAAATTGCCTTTTGCCTGTCTAAGCATACCATTTTTCCCTGTACTGCCTATCAGAGTATTATTTAAACCGGATCATTTGCTGGCCACTGGCCCAAGCTCTCCACAGATTACACATCATTACACGATGGCATCGATAGCTGAGCGCCGCTCTGAGCCATGGGATCCTGCATCAGGTTTATTTACATTAAAACATCATCAACATGTTTATATCAACATCAAACTCATTTTACGCATCACCAAACTTTGCGTAATCCTTTGATCCTATGAGGCGCAAGGCCCCTAAAAAAAAAAAGGGTCGCAAAATAAAATCAAAACCGAACCAATCCAGAGCTAAAGCCAAAAGCTCATAAGGAGACATGGACGTTGAGCAGTTGGGGAAGGGTTGGGGGAGTGGCAGAAAAAGGGTCTCATATGGCCCGACAGCCTCTTCCTTGTTGTTGTCACAAATCCGAAATAAATCAGTTAACTTCCTCAGTCGAGTGCTTGTTAATTTGAAATTTATACGAAAAACAATTTAAGCATTTCAACCAAAAATGTTATACCCCGAAATCGGAGATGAGCCTTTGCTCTTTTCTGCTCTCAACCACCCCCTATCTCTCCCGGTGTGAAAGGTTGCGATAGGTCTGTTCCCTTTCGAAATTGAACTGCGCTCTGGTTGGGGCCGGTGCCACTTGAGAGTTCGGCTTAAATTGGGGACGGGACCGTGCTGAAAAACAGATGACATTTCGGGTGATTGAGGGAGCAGTTGTCTAAGTGGCCTATGTTGTATTCAAACCAGGCTGTTTTGATTTTAGACTCGTTTCACAGGCTTTACTTTTGCAAAAAATTTAAATTAATGTGTCAAACATGTTTCATAATTGAAAGAAAATATTGTTTGGACGATCGATCGATGATTACACCACAATATATATTTTTGTATATTTTTATGTGGCTTTTTCCTTGGTCCCTTGGTTCTTAGAAGCTACTTAGTGTTTGGTTTAATTTATAACGAATATACTGGTTGATGGGACTCCTTCACGGGATTCACAAGTCCTGCGTGGGAGAATAGAAATATAAGTTTAAAGTTTTTTAATTTTAATAATGATTATTCAAACCTTTTGATGGCTTCAAATATAAGCAAATATTATTTGAACATCCATCGATAATAATATCATAGTATCTATGTATTGCAGTTATTATATAAGTGGATTTGTTTTTGTTTCCTTGAGTCTTGGAAGCAGTCGTCGTTGAAGGTACTAAGAGTTTGTTTTGATGTCGATCGACTTTCTAATCTGGAATATAGGTGGGAGTAACCCTTCGGCTTCTGCGTGAGAGAATGAGTATAGTTTTGGATGGAAGTTGATGGATAATAATCAATAAATTATTACAATTTGTTCATGGTTCTGGCAAATCATTGCTCAGATTGGTGAATGAATTGATAATAGGGGCTGAGATTGGGCCATCGCTGACCTCCAGCTTTGTGTCCAGCTAATTGGCTGCCACCCGCTTGACATTTCTTCTGCGCTCTTGCATTGCATTTGTCCTCCTTCTTATTCTCATTTGTATTATCGTTGTAGCGCTGGAGTTTATATTTCATGTAGGCATGATAGAGCACGATCGAAAGCCACAACGAAATGAAACACGAAATGCAAAAAATTACAAGGAAATTTAGTAGCGACATTTCGAACACGATATTTTTATATTTATCGGTCAAGCTGATGTACGGACCCCTTTCCACAATGCTCCACAATAACTGAACAGCTTCCATGAGGCACAGCTTCGGTCTCCTCACAATTGCTTCGATTGACGTGAGTTCTTTTTGTTTTGTTGACAGTTCTTGACGGATCTCGCATGGCCTTCGCTTCTGCCATATTTCGACCGATAAGCTTTGTAGAATTTAGCGATATCTATCGGTGCTGTAGTATAATTATCATCTCCTATCAGGCCTGACTAATCAAATTTTTATTTAAATTTAAATTGAAATATAAGTAATCTAAATATGTTTTGTACGCTATCGATTAAAGCGAATAACTTGAATATATTTCCAGTGACTATCAGAAGTATCTGTATATGTACCATCATATGTATGTGTTTTTTTTAGAGTAACTTTCAAAACGATTACCGGCAAAACTTTTCCCCATTTCAGTCCCACGTGTCCCCGAACCGAACTTAATTCTCTGTAAAATGTCAAACTTTTCTGCAAGCATTTATCTGCCAGCATGGAAACCAAAAGTGCAAAATCGTTCTGGGAAATTTGTATTTTCGCAACTTTTGGCCTGAAGCCGACCTCAAAAATGCTTCAGCCTCACGTCTCTCTAATGAACCGACCCCAAACCTCTTTTCAAACCTCTTGCTGGAAATATTTATCTATGGTGCGAGGATAGCCAGACACACAGCCCCCACTCGTACTCGTATGAATGACTTGACATTCTGGGGAAGTTTTGAGGCACCTGAAACTGACTTGAGCCACACAGCCACTGACTGCCGAGCAAACTTGACAGTTTCAATTAGCTCAGCTGTCTCGCTTGCTCTCCCCGCTCTAACCATCTGTCTCTCTCACTCTGCAACGTTTTTGCGGGATTCCGCAGTCTCATTACGAAATATTTAATCATATCTTGGGAGCAGGGAGAGAGAGAGAGAGAGAGAGAGAATGCTCCGGCCACAGCTCTGAACAATGCAAACAGTGACAAAACCACAGCCACCAGATGTCATCCAGGAGATGCACAGATACAAACACGCGCTGTATAGCTACAGATACTAATGCAGAGATAGATACATGCATACATGCATACATGCATACATAGATACAAATGCAATGTCCTCGACTAAAATGGTTCGAGTGTATTTACCAGTTGGCAATAATATCAAATTGCACTTTTCTCTGGTCCTCCACAGCAGAGTGGATCAGTGCAGAGAAGAGCAGAGAAGAGCAGGGGAGATACACAAATATCTGGCAAATACCGACAAATGTGCAAACAGAACAACCACTCCACTCCCTCCACCCTACCCCACCCCCCCGATGACAAACATTATTCAAGTCGTAGTCGCAGCCGGCGACTGTGGCACGAGCCACAGACCAAGGGTTAAGTTTGGCACGGCTCAGCGTTTTTCCTCGCCCAGAGTTGACAAAGTTTGTGCCGTGTTATTTGATATGCTACGCGGTTATTCGATAATAACAGCTGTCTGATAGCGAGGGGAACGCAGAGCAGACGCGACGAAGAGGTGCCTGAGTGGCTGTCCCATAATATCAATCGTCTGCCTCCGAGCCGAGCCGAGTCGTCGTCGTCGTCCTCCCTTCACTGCTGATGAGGCATTCAATTGTTTGCCAACTGATATTGAACGAGAATTCCTGATAGGGTATGGATAGATAGGGAAACTAAGTAATTCAACTGAGCAAAGAAAGAATCTCTAATAGAAACAGAGAAATCGTAGAAACTCCTAGACTTTCCACTTCCCATTTAATTCCAATCGCTTAATCCCAATGAACCAAAAGTCCTCAACTAAGAAAGCGAACTTTGCCCTGACATTTAAACTGACACGAGGAGAGTTTATTAAGCGCAGAACTGTCCTCGACTGGAGTCCTTTTCACCGGACTCCCTCCTCCCTCCGATTGCCCCCCAGAAATAATGCAGAGAAAATTGATGCGTGACCGCAGCACGTAACTCCAACTGGCAGGGGCTATAAATTCTCTGTCTCTCGCAAAGTGTTTTAAAAAAATGTTTATAATTTTTGATGCCCCACTGGCGAGGGTCGAACTTCGGATACAAAAGCATCCGAGACTCTGTGTGTGTGTGTGTGTGTGTGGGGCCACGTCTGCACCTTTGAGCCTGAAAAGTCTCGGCACGCGTCCCCTCATGAAGTCGGTTCCCCGTCCTCCCCCATCCACTCATATCTCGCTTTGTGTGTGTGTGCGAGAAGTGAATGAGGAAGGTTCAATATCCCAGAGGCATCGTCTCAATGACAGCTACAACTGAGACTTGGCTCGTGCTCCGTGGCTGCTCCGTCTACTCCTTTTCTCATTTCGAACTTCCCTCCCTCGGCCCTTTCCTATTAGCAGTTGCTTAGACGTGCGTAGTTTTCCATATGACTGCTCTGGGAGTTCAGATGTGTGTGTCTGTCTGTGTGTGAGGAGGAGGGGAAGCCCTAATACATCTCCTTATGTGTGCATAGCCACGAGTATTGGGTACGAGTATTCCCCCCGTCCAGCCTTTTTGGTAATGCGCTTATTATGATGATGCCACATAAAATAACAATTTAGTCGAGCATTACGAATTTCGGTGCCCTGGCATGTGTCGGGGGATAAAGTCAGCTGTTGGTATCCTGCTCCATCCTGCACTGCACTTGCCCGAGAACCTGTCCAGTAGCTAGCTGTTTGCCTCATTAATGCCTTAAATGAATTAATCAGCACGAGTCCTCCGGCTGCCATGTGTTCTCTCTGGCTGCCTAGATGCCTGCTGTGCGGGCACACAGACCCACAGACAGACAGACAGACAGACACAGACAGACAGACAGACAGATTATTGATATTCGATTGCCCTTCTACCTGTGCTTCCTCCAGGTGTCTGCGCCCTGGTCTAAAGCAAACAAACAGCTGCCCAGGAAAATGCTTTTGGATTGTCGTTCGGCCAACCTTCTGGCTCTGGATTGAGCAATTATGTTCGTACATATCTCATGGATTTGAGTGGCTATATTTGCGTTCTCACAGGCATTTTTTTGGCTAACTATTGGGAGCGTACTCCAAAAGGGAAAAGGGCATAGGTTGGCTTTTAAAATCAACTATAAATAAGGAAACTCTTTAAACAGTTTCCGATTCTTAAAGCATCTTCCAGCAGTTTCTTGAAAAGGTTCCTCAGACATATAGAAACTCTTCTTTTGTTCTATTATTTATTCTATTATTTTTCCCAGCTGGATTCAATGCACCCTGAACCTTCCAGAAGATGTTCATTATATTTGGGACTGCAATATATACTTATAATCTTGTCATGCTTAGCATCCCAGTTTAATCCATAGACATCTTTGGACTCTATCAACCTCTCGTAGCCAAACCCTTTGATGGTCCCAAAAACTATTTGAGTCACAAAGTCTGCTGTGCCACTAGAAGTCTGACTTGACCTTTTCATAACATTATTTGCTCTTAATTTCCACACACACACACAGACATATTTCCCAACAAATAAACGCTCCCTCACCCCCTCACCGTCCTGGTCATTCCATTCCCATCTGCCAATGCGGCACAATTCGAGGAGAACAAAAGAGGAATAGAAATCGAACATAAAACATCTGTTCCGTGCGCATTAAAGGCTCAGGCCGGACAGGGCGACAGGGCGACAGGGCGACAGGGAGTGATGTGAGCAGAGGGGTCAAGCGGCTGCCGAGGTCAAGGGTCATGAGTCAGGAGAGAGTCAGACCAGGGAGGGAGGTTTTTGTGTCCATAACCGAAACATATTTGAACTTCAGCTAAACAGAGCAAACACGTGACTCCGATGAAGATGACACAAGGCAGTCCGGGAGGAAGGCCGCGGGCCAGAGGACTGGTCGGCCGATGGGTTCTTACCCACATCCTCCGGATGGACCAGAGGTCGCCCCTTAATTGCCGACCTTCCACCCAGATTTGTGGGCCTTATTCGGCATTCGCTGCTGTATTTCAATTATAAATTCCGCACGGTCAATACGCTTTAATTGCACTTTTTATTTGGCTTAGCCCTGCACCCCTGCTACCCCTGTCCGACCCAGCGAGTGTGCTGCCAGGCCAAGCGTCAAATACATTAGCGTGGGGACCTTGTTAGCCCACACAGGGGCCAGAAACAGACACGCACACTCACGCAAACTCATTTAGGGCCCAAAATGGGAATACCCCAAAGACCGTTTCAGCCCGTAGGATGTCAACTGAGGTGGTGGTGCTGAGTGGGCGGTGCACGTGGGCCAGTGGGCCTCACGAACTCTGTCCATCAACTGTGTTTGGGTATACGCTGCCCTAAAAGGTTATTTCCAATTGAAACAGAACTTTGTCGCAGCCCCATCCGCTGAGGGTAATATTAATCATCTATTCCAATAGGTTTCAATGATATTTTAATAAGTTTTGGTCTGCATATTAAATGATACATTATAGATGGTCCCGTGTAGAGTACTTGCTGCTTCGTTCTCGTAAACACTGCCTTACCAGTCAGCTTCCTGTTGTTTCTATTTACAGCTATTAGGCAGCAGCCCCGCTTTCGAAATAAAGTTGGCAGCCCTACTCCTGCTCCCACTCCTGCTCCCACTCCTGCTCCCACTCCTGCTTCTGTCTTTCTGTCTGTTTGTCTTCTGTCAATTCCCAATTCCCGTGCCTGTTCCCATTCCCATTAAATCGAAAAACGATTACAAACTATAATGCAATGTTTGTGTTGTGTTGTGTCCTGCACCCCCTTATTTCTCCCACCCACTATTGCATTTTATTCCCTTATATTTCCACCCCGTGTCTGCCTGCGGCCACAGTTTGAATTTAGCGTAAATGTCAATTCTATTTCAGTTCCCAATCCATTCTATTTCATTCTATTCTATTCGATTCCGCTTCCATTCCGCTTCCCTCCAACATGTTTTGGGTCTGTTTTGTGGTCATTTCATTGTTTCATTTTCACACGCAACAATAATTCCAATCTAGTGCCCCAAACCCACCAATCATCCACCCACATTCTATTCATTCCCTCCATTCTGTGTCCATTCTCCATCCATTCCCCGGGGGGGGTTGTCCATATTGGGCCATTAAATTGCATCACATTTTATGTGCAATTTTCGATTTTTATTTGCTTTTGATTGTGATTTGTTCCACATGTTCTTGCTCGTGTTTCTCCTGGTTGTTTCTTGTGCTTGT